AAGAAAGTCGGTTCAGGAGGCAGTGGGTATGGAGCAATGAATATGGCGTCCTTAAGGGTGACTTACTTAATCGATGGTGTTATGGAAAGAGGGGGAAATGTACAGCTGAAAACCTACCAGCAAAAGCTACGTGATTTCTACGTCAGTGGGTGTAATAACTTGAACAGAATAGTCGGTTTAGTTAACGCTAATGATATATACGGCTATACTTTAGTGTCTTGGATAGCGAGGTAACACAACGTAATACATGGGATGTTAATGTGGGGCGCAAGCTGTTGCCCACATAATGCTGACGTATTTGCATGGCTACATCAATAAATGAACATATCTAAATGGTATATTCTGGAAGTGGTGGTGACATGGTACTGAAGTAGGCAATCCCTTGTTAAGGTGGTGTTCGATTATATGACAAGTGCGCGGACGGGACGCTCAAACCATATGCAAATATTCTCGTGTAAGTGGGGAGCGTTCGGAACGCTCATCACCCACGAAGCGAGAATACTGAAAAATGGTTCATCAAAAATCGTTACAGTAGGAGGGGGTGGGTCATGAAGGTGAGCCTTGCTAAGTGTCGGAGCACTAAAGAAGCAGAATTTAGCAATAATGGACGGATGCAACAACATGCTGCAGGTTGAAAATGGCTGCGAAAGGTTAACTTACCGGTTTGTTTGAGCAGGACGATGTTGTTCGCATGCGTCGAGGGGTTGCGAACACGTGTCCAGGTATGAATGCCCCCATACGTGAACTGAAGATTACGGAGCCACCCACGGAACCTGTGAGCTTGTAGTCCGCCGCAAGGAGATAGCGGTAGTTCGCATACTTCCAATGGGCTGTGGGACGACAAGACACGGATTCAGGGGGTGGCCCTGAAAAGGGCCGTTGCTCCGTTCTCCAAGGAATGGTAGTGGTGTGACAACTGGAAGGCGAGGGAAGACTGGACAAGGTGCTATGATAGGATACGTCTGATGCACGTACATAACATGAAATCTAAAAGATAAATGAGGATGGACAAGGAATGTAACCTGCGGCGGCGATTTATGGTGTTACCACACGGCGCCAGCGGTACTTGAGAGGAGTGTCTTTGGCAGTGAGAGGTTACAAGGAGGTCGGCGGCAGATATCATTGTCTCTGAAGTAGAGGTGAGCATACCAAATATATGTTACCTGTAACTACGTATCAATGCAACATCACATGGCGGCGGCAGGTATTTGGAGGAGGCTCAGTGACAGTGGCACGAAGCAAGGCGCTCGGCGGCAGATATCAGTGGCTCTAAAATACAGGTGAGCATACCAAATATTTCTTACCGGTAAATACGTATCAATGCAACATCACATGGCGGCGGCGGTACGTGACAGGAGGCTCTGTGCTAGTGAGAGGAAACAAGGGGCTGCGCGGCAGATGTCAGTGGCTCTGAAATAGAGGTGAGCATTGAAAATCTATGTTACCGGTAACTACATATCAATGCGAGATCACATGGCGCGGCAGTACGTGGCAGGAGGCTCTGTGCTGGTGAGAGGAAACAACGGGCTGGGCGGCAGATGTCAATTGCTCTAAAATAGAGGTGAGCCTTGAAATTCTATGTTACCTGTAACTATGTATCAATGCGTATCAATGCGAGGAAGCGATGCGTTGGGCGGAAGATGTAAATGGCTCTGAAATGGAGGTTAGCATACGAAATCTATGTTACCTGTGACTACTTATCAAGGCGATATGATGTGGCGGCGGCAGTACCTGACAGTAGCCTCTGTGTTCGTGAGAGGAAGCGATGCGTTGGGCGCAGGATGTCAATGGCTCTGAAATGGAGGTTAGCGTTGAAAATGTATGCTACCTGTATATACGCATCCATGCTGCATTGCATGGCGGCGCCTAGACCGTGGAAAAGGCAACGGCCGGTGCGTTGCGCGGATTCTCTGAAAGGGTAGCGATTACAGGAAATATATGTACCCCTGTCAGCATAGCACTGTGATGCAAAGCTTTAATGGTCATGAATATGCGCAAGCAAGGAAAGTGGAGAAATGTGATGTCTCTGTGCTAGCAAGCACCTTGGGCCGTGTAAGTTTCCTTAAGATTCTTGATTTCGCTCATATCGCTCCTCAGGTTACGGGCCATGCTTGTGCGCTTGTCCTAATGACAATGAGATTCAATGGAATAGTATCTCCGCCTTCGTCTCAAATTGATCACAGGTGTTCTTGGTCAACCTTCGTCGACTCATATCATGCTGCCGCGTGCACGGAAATCGGCACCTCTTTTGGAGTATCCCGAAACCCCTGGAGCTGTTCCAAAGCCGAAAATGCAGCGAGACATGATGGTCTGAGCTTGGTTTACAGGTGCACACTGCTTTCCTCTCGGGCAACACGCGCAAGGGGCAACCGTGCTATCCGTTAAAGTAGGCAGTCGGCGTACGCAGTCTGTAAGACGGATCGCAAAGTACATCTAGTTGAACCACTCAGTTAAGGAACCATTCATTCGGAACAGAAATGCCCGTACTCTTCAGGCAGGTTCGAAAAGCGTCAAGAATGACGGGACAAACAAGCTGGAGCCTAAGTCGTATGCAACAGTTGCTTCAACCTCGTCTGATAACTTGCGCCCTGTCTCGTTCTCCGCGGCTAAGCCGGTTGCGGTTAATGTAAATTCCCAAACCCGCTAACAACTGGTCACCCGAGCCCAAATCCAGCGCCGACAGCGTGTGGTCAAGCTTTTGCCTTACCCTACGTGAACTCTGCTCCACTACGACGACGTGCAAAGAAGTTTCCATAGGGAAGAGACGCCCAGCAATCATCCGAAGTCGTACACGGAAATGGATTGCCTCCAGGAACACGGCATGGAGAAACTATTGTTCCCATTCAACTGCCACTCAGTGGGAATATTACCGATCCCACCTACGTGGCCACCCACTGAGGCTCACACGTCAGCACAGTCGGCTGAACTGCAGACGACACTACTTCTCTTTGCGAAGCTGCCGACCGATTTAGTCTTGGCACCCACTGTGGCGGACTTTAAGGCCCGCTTGGACTGCCATCTGGCCGAGCTACACCGCGATATTCCCTAATTTAATTAGATTCTACTGGATGGAATTTCTTTCTTTTTTTCTTCCACCTACTTCCTTTCCAAAGCCGTTTCGGAGGGCGTGGTGGGATGTCTCGCTTTGAGCCGGCGTGCATTCTGTTTTAAATGCCACATAAGCCCGATGAAGATACGGCTAACACGCGAGTCCAACCCGCTATAATGTTGCTTGGCCTTTCAGTAAACCAGACCCGTACTCTTTTTACCCTATGGGTCATGTAAAGCTGCAGCTTTTATTCCCATCAAATACAATGTTCCAATGTTCCAATGCCTTCAAATTGAAGGGTACTAATGTTAGCGTTCAGCTAGACCTCCCATTAGCGGATAGGCTGAAGCTAAAAGGGGCCATTAAGGACCTCAAAACCAGGGGAGCGGCCGGTGAACAACGTCTCCGGTTGGTGGGTTTTCGGGTGGTCAGCCGGCGGTCTGTTTCCGCCATACCAGTGCCAGTACTGGTAGCGCACGACCCAGGGCTGGACATTACGAGTACCTTCAAATAGTGCTAAGCAATGTGCGGAGCCTAAGGAATAAGATGTGCGAGATAGGTCTGCTTGTAGATGGGTCTCATCCCGATATACTTGCATTCACTGAAACGTGACTGTCTCAAGACATCACGGACGGAGGAATGAAGGACACCTATGTGTACTTGGTTGGGGACAAGTGGGAGTTCCACCTCACGGAGTACGTAGCCCGAAGGCGGGAAGTTTGCTCCAAAGAGAAGGACGGAACACGTACGCTGATTGATGGCCAGTAGGCACAAAGTAGACCAGTCCCAGAGTCCCAGAGCGTATCACCTCAGCGTTTGTCATAGCCTCAATCGGGGTACGTTATCAAATGATTTCGAGGTAAACCAAAAGCACATACGTCAGGTGGCCATTGTCCGCTGCCTTCCATTCGGAAGTAAATGTACAGCTGTCAAGTGAAATGGAAAACACCATGGTCAGCGATCCCGTCACTTACACCGGCAGCTCTTGCAGAAGCTTCCGGTGAATGGAATCAGCCGCAGCACCTTCGGACCAGTGCACTTCTTGCAGCAGTTTAAGCACGTGCGTTTATACACCACTTAACTCACCTACATAACAAACCATCCGTGTCTTACAATCACAGCGCGCGGCGTTGTAATTGGAACACACAAGGCACGATGATTGACACCCAGGCCAAACGTTGCACAGGTAACAAAATAGTCAAGGACATATACAGTTGGGGAAGAAAGGCATTGCCGTGGGAACTTACCGATTGCAAGCGGTTTCTATTTGCAGAGTTCATTCATGCGGTATTCCAATACTATTTCTGTGTATCCCTAAAGAAAAGTAATGTAAACAACGTGAAACGGAACTTACCCACAGCAACGCGCACATGTATATGCCGCTTCCCCATGGTATGAAGCGCAGGTTTGATGAAACCACCGCAAGCAAACATCACAACTTATCCACTCGACGATCTCAGAGCTCCCGCACGCGTCCTCTTCCTCCTCACACAAAGAGCAAACCGCGCTGTCCGCTTCCTTTTCAGCGGTGCCTCTCTTTGTACCCCATGTGTATGTGCGGTGGCGGGCAGATGTCCTTCTTTTAAGCGTCATAAATGTCAACTCCCGTGAAGTCATGCTGCCTTCCACCACCTCAACGGCACGGGTTAGCAAAGGCGACTTCCGCCTGCGACGCCTGCGTTCGGCGCAAGGAGACTGGGAAACACCAGCCACCGGGGACACCAATGTGATCCCTTCGCTGACTTCCCTCTCCGGTGAATTCATGCCGTCACGCGTACCATTGCCCGCCGTCACGTGGGTAGCTGCAGCGGAGGATGACGGCTCCATTCCCTGGAAAGTAGGCAGGTTTTCCGAGGATAACGGTTGCAGTTGCTGCAACTGCGATGACCGCGCGTAAAGCTGAACATCATTGTGGCTTGTGAGCAGCTCCCGCACGCATGCGAACACGCCCATGGTGCGCTGGAACTCCTCCGTGCCCATGCTCAGAATCTGCGTTTCCAGAGACGCAAACATATCCCGAGTGATGCGAATTTTCGCCGCCCGATCAAGAACTACATCACTGGGGCATCTCACCGGAGCCACCGTCAACGTCCCTTCCGTATCCTCCGAAAGCATCGGCGCAGATGTGCTTATCGATGGCAATACCCAACGGCAACCACGAAGCACATCCTCCTCCTGGTACGCGTGCAGGCTCGCAACGTGTATTATGTGCGCACATGGAATGCGCCACTGCCGATTAAATCTGCATCCACAAGCGCAGCCATTTCCGATGACAACACGTTGCATACCAATGCGCTCGTCCTCCACCAGCCAACAACCAACGCCTTCGTTGACGCTGCGAATACGAACACGAACACTGTGCCGCGCGTACTGCCGCCGGGCGTAAGACGAGAGCCTGCGCAATATCACGTCCCCAACGCTGGCTCCGTGCTGAACGTGGCATTCACCAAGTTGATCTCTGGCCAGCAGTGTTTCCCTCTCCTCAATCATGCTACTTGCACGCTGCACTATCACCTGAAACAGGTGAAGTAGCGTTGACCGTTCACTCAAAGTTTGTTTCAGATGCTTGTTCTCATTTTCAATGCGATTCGTGCTGTCGCATCCAAATAAAACTACATGGTCCATCAGATGCGCCGCCCAGCTAAGCCGCCATGGAATCCATGTACGACGCAGGTATTGGAAGCATTCTGCGCTCCGCAGAGATATCGCTTCCATAATCCGATGGTAATGAGCGCAGTCGTACGTGTACAACAATGACCGCAGCATGCTGAAAAGAGCTCTCTTATCTTCAGGGTTACACAGCGGAAGGTGTGAGCAACGCCGCCGCATGTCACGCATAATGTGTACCCGGCAGAAAACAATGTTCGCATTGGGGTACGCATTACGGAACGCGTTCACTTGCGCCGCGCACTTGTCCATCACCAACGTCCGAGCACCGGCAACCGAGGGGGCCAATTCCAACATACCTCTCACTGCCTCCTCGTAAGCTACCTCCGTCTCATTAGGCAACAGGGCATAAAAGAAGCTCATACCGAGGCCGCTGACATCCACAAACATGCAATGCCACAGGATGTAGCCTCCGTAATTGATCTGATACGTGGAGTCCGCCAAAATTACCTCGCCGTACTGGCCCACCAATTCAAGCATGCGCGAGGGTACGAAAAATAGGTAACGAATCTGATTACCCGCATGCAGAATTTTCACCTCACCATTTCTTTGCAACATTTGAGTCACCTCCTCCACCTCTGTGACACAGGCCTTACGATGACGCCGCCGCATAACATACAAATCCCTCCTTGTTAAACGGATGTCATACTGCTGCCGCACAAAGGCCCGCATCTCCTGGGTCCGACGAAACGTTCTCATTAAGTTAAGCACCAGCCTCTCCTGCTCTTCCGATAGCCTCCGATTACACGCATACAACCAAGGCTTCCCAACTTGGAAGCTGTGCGAATGCCACAGATACGCATTCCCAATTTCGTAACATTCGCCCTTATACGTCACAGAAAAACGCGCAGGGCAATCGTAACATCGGTACCTATAGTAATCTTATCATGAGGCAATTGCAATGCACTTACCGCTTTCCAGTGACATTACTGCGCCTCCCATGCACACATACAAACAGAATATATCGGTATGGGCATCCATCCGGTAGCACCTGTCCAGTCTCCCTTTCGTACGCCTTCGCAGATTGCACGTTCCGACGAACAAAGGAAGTCGCCGTTTTAATCTGAAACTCTTTCAGATCCTTCTCCACCGATGCGAAGTCCAGATAAGGACCCTTCAACAAACGTCGGAATGCAAGCGAGTCATCCACCATGGCTGCTACGCGTGAGGCGGGAAAATGATTAACCATCGTAACGCATTTAAACCACTTAGTAAATTGATTTCCAATTGAGGTCGTAGGATTTTAGCAAGCGTACTCAATCATTAATAAACAACACTATGAGTTCAATGTCGCCAAATCTACATCACATCACCTGCCACCCTATGTACCGGGATAACACTGCCGAAGGAGCGTTATTTCCAAGTGGCGGTTGGGACGCTCTCGAGGTACATCCGACACTTGGAAATAAGACGAGTAGTATGAACGTACGTCCGCGTGTGAATATTGAAAGATAATTACGAATGGACGATCAATAATGCCATAATATGATGTTAAACGTTAAAGCATGCATTTGTTGAAATGGACGACCGAAGGTCGAAGAAGGTAGTCGGGAAATACGAAATCCTGGTTGCCATGACAGCCACCATCGCTGCGTTGTGAAATGGTGATGTAATCTGTAAGGGAATATATAGTGAGAGATGACGGTGACATATGGTAGCAGTAGTACATGGGCTATGTTTTAAAGGAATTAAATGTTTCTAAAGGGTTCGAAGGCAAGTGATATATGGTGATGTTAACCATAACGGCACAAAATTTACGTATCGTATGAAAGATAGTATATTAATTGAAACGCTTCGTGCGGGTTATGGAAAAGGTACCTGAATAAATGGGTAATATATAATGCCGTGTGTGGTGTGATATAGAAGCGTTTTAAAGTTTCACACGGCTACAGCTAGGGTATATAGGTATAGGTATATAGGTATAATTTACGGCTTATCAACAAATTCTTTCTTTCGTAATTTGTAATGTACGGCATAATTAATTTGGGAAGAATGGTATAGTGGATGGAGACGCAACCCGTGAAAATACGGAAAGTTATGTAATATATTTTTAATGGAAATGGCAAGTCCTAGCGATATAATTCATCCATGCAATCGCTGGACGCTATTTCTATCTAGTAGATTTCGATGTACATGGTTTTTTAATATTATATATGTCTGCTATGATATCTGAAATACATGTATATATATATATATAATGCTGATACATATTGATTGCTTTCATATATGTCGATAATATAGGTATGTTATTTAGTTTATCAGTCATATTTAGGTATCTTGTAAATATTTCTTATATTTTTCGTTGTCTTGTAATATGTTATTTGGCATATTTTTCGGATGAAAATGTTTAATGAAACATAATTGCCATGTATTTATTAAAATGCTGATCCGGTTACGGTTTTAATGCCCCACAACTGGTATTAGTCCGTGTGCTTCGTTCGTCAGCGGGCTTAGTATATCACGTGAGAGAGTCGCTGCAGGAGGTAAGCGGGTTAACTGTGGTGTGTTATTTCACTGGTTTGCAACGGTTTACTTCTCTCTATATTTGCTTGCGTAGGGTTCTATCTAGCTGCAATGATTATCAGGCTAGGCTTGTGTTAAAGTGTTTTGCTTCATGTATAGACGGTTATAATACATTGAGCACTGGAATACTATGGATAATCCGGGTTGCTGATGACGTTAAGCTATGGTATGTGCTTATTGTTTCTGGATTTTCCGAGGCGTACAATATGCGCTGGACAGACTCTGGGACTTGTGTACTTTGTGGCTTATACCCATAAATCAGGCTAAGGTTTCCGTCCCTCGTATGGCAGCGAATTTTTCACGTTTCAAGTGCATACTGAGGTTGGTTAAACTCCCCCTTGTTTCCAAGCAAGTAGACCTACGCGTCATGCATTCCTCGTCTTTGCATTCCGGGGACAGCTGGAAGAAGGCCGCAAGTAGAGGTCCTCCGCTTTATCCGCACCCATCTGGATTGGTGCGTGCAGGCTTGCCCGCCATGCCTTATTCGGTACAAAATGGAGCTGGAGAGGGTCATGAGAGTAGGTACGCAATTGGTCGAGGTGTTACGGGGGGCCTTGGTACCCCGAGCGTCTACCTAGCTTGTGTGTTTATTCCATGCACTGACGACGGGTTCGAGGAGGCGTAATGGTTACTTGCAGCATTTTGATAGATAAGGTTGGACCGGACTTGACCTGGCTATTTAGCCCGGCTAAGTTGCCTTGTCTTCCCTGTTATCCCTTCCCTTGATCTTCTCTTCTCCTGACCATATCCATCTTCAAATTGTTAGTTCTTATACGGTCATTCTCTTCACTCTTTGGTGTTATCCTTCATTTCAGTGACTTTCATTCCCCTTGATGCAAAAATTACCCCACACGGCCTGACTACTTAATGTAACTTACACTGCCGGGACTGCTAGTGCAGGGCAAGTGGGCAGTAACGGGTTGAACATGATGTTTCAGGAGTATCCTTTAAGATCTACCAATACCTACCACATTCTCATATCCTGCCTCAACGATGTGCATAAGAAGGAACACTCACGGGAGATTGCTATCATTGCAGTGCAACTGATTCTAAATCTGAACACCCCTAGGCCTTCCTGGGCAAACGGTTAGTGCGCACGTTTGGTGCCCTATAAGTGCGTGCACGGGAAAACAAGTGCGCATTACAAAAGGAAAATGATATCAATGCTCCTGAAGAGGTAGCGAATAGGAGGTTGAGGTACGAAGATCTGAGTTACTCAGGGAACTGGAACAATTTTGTGTTGCCACGCGAAAGCTGCAAGTCACCCCAGGAACCCTTGAATGCCGGAATCCCTGTTAACACTGTGCAGAAGCATGTCAATGTTCGGTTAGTACACCTTCAAAGAGGGACCGTGTACAGTGGGAAATGATACCGGACATATGTACCTCAGGTACATAATCACCAAGCCTCGCAGTGAGGACGCATGCTGTTCATTTGCGGCTGGTCTGTTGTTGACGTCCTTCACAGCCTCCCTAACCTGCAGCCTATGGTGTACCGGAAGTTGCTGATGAACGCCGATGTGTTATCTAACGCCGTTAACAAACATGACGCCACGTATTGCCGATGGGGGAAAGGAGTGCCTGAAATGGAGATAATGTCTGTCCGTAAAACAGGTGTTCACTTAAATCAACCATAGACAGAAGCGGCAGGCAAGGTAAAGGAAAGGATAAGGTGTTCAGTCCCATGCGAAATGGTCACGCACGTATGGGTGAGGTAATTCATACTCATCCCCACGCGGCGGATCACTAAGCAACTGGGAGGTGATGTGATATGAGAAATGCAGCTTGAGCGCTAGGAATACTTGTACCATGTATCATAAATCAAGCGTGGTTCTTACCTTGTCGAGGAAGGTTACTCCGGTGCCTTGCAAAGCGCAATCGTTAATCCGGTTGCTTGGAAGATGGCGCTGTCATGAAGAAACTGATAAGTGAATGCGCATCCTAAAAAGGCAGCGGAATTGTGGGTGCTTCTGATGTCCGTAGGCACACCTGACCACCCCCAGTATGTGTGATTCCGTGACGTAAACGTCACGTAGGGGAGGCACCGCATATGGGAGCAGAGGGTGTACCTAACGATCAAGCGGAAGCAATGGATAACACGGTTATGAATGAAAGAAAAAGGTAGCAATATGAAAAAGTAGGGCTTACATACAACGATGGCAAGTGAAGTGTTCCTGTCCACTGTACGAGACGCATACCTCATGATACCAAAGGCGGCAATCGCAGCACATTACCCAGTCAACCGCCTGTCCACTGTGTGCCTCGCAGTCAGTTTGGAGGCACGAAGCGCACTTGTCATTATCGTAGTTGGCTGGGAGTGGTGCATGGCTGCGACGCTTCCTTGGAGGCCTATACACCTTAGCCGTTGTCGTGTGCAAGTCTCGAAAACGCAGTGTCTTCCTTTCATGCTCCTGACTGGCTGTGGATTCTGGAAATGGGAACTAAACGTTGCTTACGCTTTGTGCATTCCGTGCTACTTTCACTCGTCCCTTCGGCAGCTGAATCCATTACGTTTGCAGTGAAAGAAACCGCAACTTCCTCGTGAGAGCTGCTAAGGTTCCGCAGTAAGTCACGCAAGTGATCCATAACCTCCCTCTACTTCGCATCGCCCAGACGGCAAACTTGAACCTGAATATCACCTAGAACCTGGCTACATTCCCGAAGCTTCTGTTCCCTACTTACAGGTGCAACAGTCGAGCTAGACGCTAGGGGGACGATGTCGGAGGACGTGGAGGCGGTAACACGCGGTTGTTGCGCGTGTGACACAACCCACCGGTTGTTACACAATACCTCGTCAACCGGTCTGCCTGCAGCGTGAAATGCATGCACAATGTGTGCACAAGGCAGCAGCCATTGCCGGCTGAAGCTGCATTGGCAGGTTACCTCCTCACTCATTAACACGGTGTACCTTCTACTGGTCCCTTGCACTACACATGTATCATCGGACAACTCCGTGACTGTCACCTTCTCTCTAGTGTGATGGCACCGCAGGCGCGTTCTTGCATACCCTGAAAACTGTAACGCTGCTTGCCCTAGGCTATGCAAGCAAGAGTCCATGGGATGCTCAGACAAATCGGTTTTACCCATTACATCTTCCCACTGAGCTAGAGCATCCATCACGCGGTTAACAACCGCGGTAAACAGGTCAAATAAAGAGGTCCGCTCTGAAAGACCACTCTTCAAACGCCTATTTTCGTTCTCCATGCGGTTCGTTGTGAAACAACCGAACAAACAGGTGGACGTCAAACGGTGAGCAGCCCATGATGAGACAAATGGCAACCACGTTCGTACTAAGTATCTATGCGCGTCGGCGTTTCCCTCTTTAATGGCTGTCAAATACCTGACGAACAGCCGATAAGTCCTAGCGTACACTAAGTTCCGTACGGACTGCTTAATAACCAACCTGTCGGTTGCACTTTTTGTGGATAAACCGCTGCAGCGGCGGGTGACATCCTTCAGTAGGTGGAAACGGCACAATGCAACCCGCGTGCAGGGGTACACTACTTGGAATGCACGCATCTGGGCCATGCACTTATCAATCACCACCGTCCGTGCTGCCTCAGTCGCTGGTAACATAAGCCGCATGTTGCGCACGGCGTTCATGTACGCTGCCGTTGTCTCATTAGGAAGCAAGGCGTAGAAAATGCAACGCCCAATACCATGCAAATCTACCAACATGCAGTACCACAGTATGTAGCCACCGCAGTTCATCTGGTGCGTCGCGTCTGCCAGCAATACCTCAGTATAAAGCTCCACAAGGTCACGTACGTACCTGGGAACAAAAAAGATGTAGCGTACCTCGGACCCCTCATACTTTACATTACATTGACCGGCGGTCCCCAGCAATTGTATGACAGCGTTAACCGAGTTTCCCTCTACCTTTCCCTTCATCTTATCTCTTATGCTCCGGAGGTCATAACGGTTCAAACTTCTACCGCAGTGCTTCAACGCATACCTCCGGAGCTCGCGTGTGTCCTTGAAAGACTGCATCATGCGATAGATGTCCTCTTCCGCGTGCCGCGGGAGCCGTCTGTTGGTGACATACAGAAACGACTTACCTACATGGAAATTGTGGCTGTGCAGAAGGCTGTAGGATACCATGTCGTAACACCAGCCGTTATGCCGTACGGCTATATGTGCCTTGCAGTCGTAACTTTTGTACCTGAAGTTAATAAGCGTCTCACATACATTACATGTGAACTTACCGCTGGCATGTGTATCCTCTTCGTGTACAATGCACGCATTTATAGTGTACGGATTTGTATCGCACACCCTCAGGCAAATCCTTTCCGGTTTTCCTCTTATAACCAACCGAGGTCAGGACATCCGATTTGTAAAAACATGACGCAGTACGCATTTGAAAGCGCTTTAAGTCACTTTCGAACTGCTCAAAAGTGCGGTACACACGCTGAAAGAAGACAGCAGCGGTATCGTCGACAGCCATGACAGCGACTGAATCCGCCAACGTACTTTACGGTGCATTCAAACTATCATCATACTCATATCAACCTAGGTCCGCGTTACAATACATGGCAGTTTTCTCCACATTAATAGCTCTTCCATCACAATGTAATCTTCCCTTTTCCTTCACCAAGGCAAAGTGGCTTGTTGTCCGCCACCGCAACCTCCCAGTCGCCAGCTGATCACCGACCGTTGTGGAGCACGGTCTCAAGACGTAGTGGGAAGGGCTAATTTTTGTTATGGCGGGAAAGGGTTTCGCTACCGTTGTCCTCGTTAACATCCAAGTTTGTTTGAGTGGCTGCAAAGTATATTCTTAATTTTGGTGGTATTAATTTGGGGAGAAATAGAAAATAATGCTATACGGATTTGCGTCGTAAAAACGGTTATGATAAATTAAAGTGATGACTACAGTCGTAGTTGAAGTTCACGGCATACTGGAAAGCAGACAAATGCTAAATAAAAATGCAATATAAATGGTTGTTTTATGGAGCAAATAAGTGTTAATACCATTGTTTCATGTATGTAACCTTTATGCTTGCAGTAAGTTACTTGCTTGGATAAGGGAAATCCATTTCTCTTGTCTGATTATTGTATATTTGTATTTCTTAAAATCGCCATGAATGAAAGCGAAATTTACAACTAATATATCTTACCAACTACCATTTTTTGTGCATACTTAAGCACAAAGCGACCTATACACCTCTCTTTCAAATCCAGTTATGAAAGTATCACCATTTAGCCTGGTGTACCGGAACACAAAGTCCCTCCAGGCCAGTTTTTCATGTCGACAATTAGCCACTCTCAGACGTTATGCTACAGTTGCTTCAACGTTGTCTGATCACTTGCGCTCAGTCTCATTGCCTGCGGCTAAGCCGGTTGCTGTTCATGTAAATTCTAAAACCCGTGGGCTAAGTACAGCCCGTCGAGGTGATTCTTTCATGGATAGCAGCGTGATATTCCGTAACGCAGTGTGATCCATTGCCGCACTTCCTGCCGAGCGTACATTGGACGACCTACACTGGTTTAAGATGTGCGTAACGAAGCTTCTTTCGCCTGGGTTTCCCGGTGTTACTGTCAGGAAACTGCCTAGATTGGATAACGTCCCAGTTAACGCCCCAAACCCTCGACCGCGCTTCGAGTAGTCCTATCCACCCCGGAG